GTGAGCGGGTCACAATCCCAGAGGCCAAGCAGCCAGACCCAATGCTGCTCCTGAGGGAGACAGCAGGCTGTGGGACATGGTGTAATGCAGAGGTCTCGGGGACAGAGCCCACCAGTTTTGAAAGCTAGGAGGTCTGAGTTCAGTGGGACCAAAAAAAAAAAAAAAAAAAAAAACGAAAAACTTAAAGATTTGTCTGTGGAAAAGGTCCCTTTGACCTTGGTTGGTTCAACAAAGCCAGGTTCCAGTTCTTAATGGCATTATGTAGTCAAAGGGATGAAGAGGCACTCGGTGGGGTTTTCAGAGTCTCTACAGGCATGTAAACAGCCATAAAAATCTGCCCAGGAGTGTTTAATAACCTGTCAAAGCCTCAGACACCAAGTTCCAACACTTTGGCCAAATAAGCTTAATTCATGTTCACATGCAAGCACAGTTCTTACTAACTGCACCACCAGTGCAAGATTTGGAATGTACAAGATGGAAATTTAGGGATGGTTCACAATTAAGAAGCAGGGAGAATGCCTGAAACATTCATGTTTTGCATACAAGACACACTGGTGGTTGGCACACCGAGGAAAACTTCTGAAAAAGAGCTCTAGCAAGGAAGAATCTCAAGAGACTCAAGAGCCCTCACTTACTTCCTCCGGGAGATTCAAGAACACAGACGTAGCCTTTGGACAACCAAAGTTCACAGCAGCATGCTACTTACACTGCTGAACATCTGGAAGAGCAAACAAAACCAAGGCTATATCCCCTGTGACCACTGGAATGGAAGTAGTGTGTAAAAGAAAAAACAAGAATATACACTTACGGCACTGCACCTCTTTTGCACCTCTTTATTAAGGTCTGCTCTCGCTGAGATTCATTTGAACTGGATCTAGCACACACAAAAGAGGAGATTCCTTCCAAAATCACCCATTCCTGTTCATATTGTTTCACTTCATGATTAAAGCAAGACATGGACATAGGCAAAATGCATGCTAGAACAAACAGCTGAATAAAAGTGATTGCAAACAAGACAGTAATTTACTTTTAAGGTACATACCTCAAAAGCACACCAATAACCCCTTTAAAGAAATGCATCCAGATAAACTTCCTATTCTCTCCAAAGATAACAGAAGAAAAATTTCAAAACATAAATCTTTCCATCTGTGGTATCCCAGACTTTCTCTTCTCTTGCCAATTAAAAGACAGACAATAACCCAAAATATTTTCAAAAACACAGCAGGTTTCAAAGATACCAGAAGATATTTTACTATATCAACTTGATAGTATTTCCAACTACTTCTCAGACTGCGTTTGTTACAGGCTTTGAATGGAATTAATGGAAAATATACAGCCATTGCATCACTCAAAAAAAGAAAAAAAAAAAGAAACCTTTATAAACTTTATCCCATAAAAGATAAAGATCCAAAATGTCATACCCTATACTCATTCCAGGGACGTTGGTGTAATTTCTTTTACTCTCTAAAGATAAGAACAACCTATTAGCAATTAATTACAAACACTAAAAGATATGCCAAAAAGAACTGAAGATCTCAGTCTAGGTAAGACAGGGCTTTCTAACACAAATAATTAATAATCTAATTTTTGTTAAATGTTTTCAGTAAGGACACACATACATTAGATATCCAATCACCCAACAGTGTCACAGTGTGTGTTTGCATTTGTAGCCAGCCAGGTCTCTCAAAAACCAGAAATGACTGTTGGTGCAGATTCAGCAGCTTTCTGGGCACGTATTGTTTGGAGGAAGAAGTCAGAACCTAAAAGGGCAATTTTGGAATTACCCTGAGCAACGGCATAGACTCTTATTTATAAATTAGAAACCAAACCAAAAAAAAAAAAAAAACGTGAAAAAGAACATGCTGCCATGAATACAAAGACTATACGTATTGAGCCTCACGAACCAACTTTCTCAAATTTCTGCCAATGTTTTTACAAAAGCACTCATTTGGCAATGAGCTTGGACCGCTTCATCTTCTTTCAGAAACAGCTGTTCCAGTCAGAGCTGCTGCTGTTATGGTGAATCCAAAGGAAAACCTGCACTGTGTGGTTCTGCATTTATGCCTTGCACCATCCTTAAGGTGTCTACACACACAGCTTGTCTTTTTCCAACTGCAGACCTTTAGTGAGAGAGAGGTGGTGGGGTGCAGAGTGAAATTTCTGCCACCAAGCTCAGCGGTGGGGGAACCTCTCTCTGGATAGCACTTACTGTGACTCTGCCAAGGCACGATGTCTGCTCACCCTGCTGTGAATTGCAGCATCCATACTCATTGCTGCAGCAACCCCAGAAAGAAGCCAGCAGGACAATTACCCCCCTGCCTTGTGCCAGAAGTAAGCCTGGTGCTCTTTTGCACTGGCAGCAGTTTGCCTTTGCTCTGAGCACATCTCACAAGCCACTGTCCCACATGCAAGGCAGGAGAAAACAAGATCCACCAGATCTGCTCAGTTCCCTAACCCTGCTGATCCTGCCAGCTCGGTCTAAGGTTTCAATAGCGTTTGTCTACTGCATTTACGCTCAAGGATCAGAGAGAGCTGGCACCTCCAGCAGGAGTCCCGTTACACGTACAAAGCCAGCAACAACGCTGCACACCAGCCCTGGACAAAGCAGCTCCCCGCACAGGGATTTTGCTGGCGTGCAAAAAAGTGGAAACATAAACAGCAAAATGCTGCTCCTGATGGGGCATGAATGCTATCGCTTCTGTAACCGTGCCTGCTCCTAGTCAGATTACAACTGCCAAGGTCAGTGAAAACAACTGCACCAAAACAATGTGCCCAAAGGCCTTCCAAAATGCAGGGGACATCTGAGAAGCACATGCATCTCGAGTTATGTTTAGAAAGGGCAAGCTCCACGTCAGTGGCCAGCACCCCTGCGAATGCTCCTCCACGCTTCTCCCTGGGGCCAGGGGACATCACCCAGCAAGGGGCAACGCCAGCTTGCGACACATTCCCCCCTGCTACCTGTAGGAAACAACGTGGACAACACAACAACGTCACCAAAAGAGACATTTGAAAGACCACATGCCCCCCTGGGAGGAAATCAGCACATTTTGACCAGGTTCCCAGCCTTTGGCTTGCCACTTCATAGAGCTCAGCAGCAAAAACCGAACGGCTCTGCTCCCTCTTTGGGCACCCTGTACATCACTGCCCTGAGGGCAGCCCAAAACCTGTGGTGTGGTCTTCAGTTTGTCCTCAGACGTGCAGAGATGCCTTGTTATAATCGTGCAGAGGTGACTTGTTACAATCAGCTGTCATTCCCAAACACACCAATGTTGTATTATTGTCCAGTCTAACGCTACAGCCACTAAAGGAAGCAAAGCACTCGGGGCTGTCAGGGGAAATTTAACCCACCTGCTGTCTGCCAGCTAGGAACAAACGGACCCAGTAATACTTCTGAAACAGATAGGAAGAAAAACAAAGCCTCGCAGCGCGTTTCACGAGGCTTGTGTTTAGAATAGCTGTGCAACACGAGCAGAAAGCTGCCGGCGACAGGAAGGCAAGAAAAGGCACACTCTTGGCTGCACCTCCTTGGGGGGGGAGCATTTCCCAGGGCTCCCGGCTGTGGCATCGCTCTCTGCGGGCATTTCTCGGCTCCACAGCTTAATGACAACCAGCTCAGCTCTGCTACCTAGGGACTGCTTTTAACGCCAGCCATACATGGTGTCTGTTACACCAGCAATTACATTAGGAAAAGAATGACTTCATATATAGATGTCAGCACAAAGCTCCAAAAAGCAAAACCCAGAAATATCTTAAGTAAATGTCCGTGAAGAACGCAAGCGGTAACACAATCAGCGGGCTGAACTCTTCAGAGAAACAGAGCAGTAACTTAACCTTTAGACCAATTTAATAACTGCTGTTAGGAAATCCAATCCTTACCCAACTAACTCACATACTCACTGCCAGCTCCAGCAATGCCCACGGGTGCCTGCAACTTTCCCAGTGCTTCCTCAGCCCCAGCCACGCCAGCAGTCCTGCCCTCAGGCACAAAGGCACGGAGAAGCCAGCGAGATGTACAGAGGGACTGGTGGAAGCAGAGATGCAGGATTCACACCTGGCTCAACTCCACCGCCTCCATCAAGCCCCTGCAGCCCTCTGGCATGAGCAGCTGCCGTGCACACTGAACATGGGGAGGACGTACATCGCTGGTGCCACAGTCTTGAAAATTGGGGGGAATTTTGCTCCGGGTGTTGGAGCAGGAGCCATGCTGCAGGAGCGGGGAGCTCCTGTGGCGAGCAGTGCATGCAGAGTCCTGTAAAATTACATTCAGGAGGCTTGTAAAACTTCTCAAACCAGCCTTACCGCAGAAAATCAAGGATTGCCCTTTATGGCAGTTTTGAGACAACCTCGTGTGAAGAAGGGGAAGCTGGCAACCGGACAGGCCATGGGTTTTGTTTACAGCAGCAAAAGTTCCCGAAAAACTGCTCCCCCCAGCAGGCTGCAACTTCCCACTCTCAGCCCACTCAGCCCCAGCATGCACCGCAGGGACCTTTATGAGCTCAAAACATTTGAGCACAGCCAGCATTTTCCCAGAACAAACACCACGCCTCGCCCCAGGTGACACGTGGCCCCTCTCCGCCTGCCCCCCTCACTCTGTGCCCCGCTGGCCGAACCATCAAAGGCATCCCGTGAGGAAAAGGGAAAAAAACCTTTCCGCTGCTGTCAGCAAAACGCAGACACACAGGCAGCCAGGTAGCCTGTGGAGCACCTGAGGTCCATGTGTGCCCGGCAGAGCCAGCTGCCTTTCCTGAGGAGCATCAGACAGCGCCGCACACCTCTCCCACTGCCACCACTTTTTATTTTTGACTTTTCCCCTTTTGGCTGTGTAGTCCCAATCTCCCCAGGTTTCCATTTCTGCAAGCAATCAGTAAGGTGCCATTCCCCAAAAGACACTGTTTAGTATTATTGCCTTCCCCCTTCCTAAGGGGAAGGGCGTTTGTGTCTCGCTTCTGCCACGATCCCAGCCCTCGCAGGCAAGAAAGCAAACTGCAAGTGCAGCTTACTGCTCAATCACCAGGACAGCTCAAGGTGTTGTGCAGGTGCGGAGTGGTATTTAATCATCGATGTCCCCCCTCTTCTCTCCATCCATGCTGGGAGGCCTGCTCAGAAGCAGCCATCTTCACCTGACTTTGGAGGCGATGCAAGCCCTGGCTGCTCTCAGTGGCAACGCTGGGAGGGCACAGGCAGTCCATCCTCTGACTTCTGTCCCCCTGAGCTTGTTGGGCTGCCAGACCTGCACATCTCGCAGGCAAACACAAGCAGAAGGGTTGCACAGCTGTAGGCCAACACGGAGACATCCCACCTCCATCCTCTGGAGCTTCGCAGGTACGGTAAAATACCAGGACCACTGCCAACTGCTCACACAAATCTTGGTTTTTAATGGCAGAACTACAGTGCCAACAAAGAAAGCAAATCACCCAGAAAAGCACGAACAAAGTCCCTGTTTACAAAATGAAAGCTGTTCCGAGGCAACTCCTGTACAGAAAGTCCAGACAGCACCATCCTACCCTTTCCACAGGCAGACACAGTATCTGATACCAAGCAGATGGTGGTAGTATCAGGTGTCTGCTGTACACTTATATCTGATACAATAAATAATACACAACTAATGCAAAATATCAGTTTCATTCTGCTCCTAGTTACTTGAGACGGCGCTGCATGCATTACCTTATCTCCAGCTAAACGCAACACATCTGCCCAAACCCATCACTGAAGACTGAATTAAATTTCCTTGGCAGTAATATTATTATATATGCAGCATGTTTATCTAGTGCTGTCTCTTCTATTTTATATCTTAAGTGTCTTGAAAATGTAAAAGCAATTCAATTTGCCGCCTACTCAAATACTTTCTACCAGACAATCTAATGGGTCAAACCACGTGAAAAATGGTAATGCTGCTTTCTTCCGTCAGCCCCATGAAACCATCAAAAATAAACAGCACCCAAAAAACAAAGAACCCCTGTTTCTCCAGCATCATGTCATATCAGCAGAAATTTTACTTGGACATCCTTCTGAGTTCCTCACAGTGTAATTATTAACAGAGCGAATTATTTTTGAAAAATCATCTTGCATGGACAGAGAATAATTACGAGTTAAGTAGCACAGCACTTAAACAAATGTAACCGGATAGGATTATGCTTGCATAACAGTCATGAGGGAAAACTGCTAGCCCCTGAAGGCTGTGAGAGTCCTTCAAAGCAGTCAATAAACAGAGAGAAAAGGTGACTCATGCAGATGAAAATGACCCGTATGACTTAATTTACTTGACCTTCAATACAGGTTCAACGAGATACCTCGTATCATAGAGAGCAGGTATTAATTCCCACAAAAGCAGCATGCAATGGGGTCAGCAGACCCACTCTGTTAAAAAAGAGCTTGCCAAGCAGAGGGCTTTGCGTTAGCCTTGGGGCCTGGGTCCAACTCTTCCCATTGCTCGTCAGCTGGGAGGAGGCTTTCACACCACAGAGCACTGCAAACCTCTGCTTAACCCGGTCCCAAAAGCACATACACTAGGATATCAGCCTGGACAAAAAGCCCACACAAGACTGTAGGGAACTCTCACTGCACCTCAAAACTCTGGAAGACTGACAATCCACGCAACAAACCACCTGAGCCGTGCACAGGTACTCCCCTACCTCCTTACCCAGGGGCACAGCGAAGTCTCTGCTGGTGACCTGGGGAGGAAAGGGAATTTGCACTGATCATCCCCATGTCTACTGATGGGCTAGCATCTACCAATAAACAAAAAAACAAACAAACAAACAAACAAAAACAAACAAACAAAAAAAAACAACAAACAAACAAAAAACAAGGAAGAAAATAATAATAAAAAAAAGACTGGCAAATCCCTTGGGACATGTCAATGAAGGTCAATGGCCATTAGCAGCAGGAAAAGGACATCTGATGAAAGGGGTATATAAAAAGAGAAATACAGTGCAGCATTACAGATCTAGCTCCAGCTGTGCCAGCAGGAACAAGAAAACCTGGCTTGCAGCACTGCAAAGTGTTGGCAAGTGGTGAAATTTGCAGGTAGAAGCAGCCAAGGAATGGCACCAACCAGCTGATGTGTAGATGTCTTAACTCAGACTTCATGGTTTTAATTGCGCCACTACAATAGTGTTGCATCAACACTAATGAAGTAAAACAGAGCAATTTGCTTGGGTCTTATCTCCATAATTAGCATATTCCTAGTGCCCAGTGTGAAGCTCACAGCCATAGGCAGGGCACCAACACCAGAATGTGGATGTCCACACAGGGACCTGATGCAGTGAAGGAAAGCATCACCTCTCATTGAAGGAGTGAGAGCAACTTCTCCTCCAGAAGCGAATTGCATTGCTGAGCCCAAAGGGCAACTCCCAAGACTCTCAAATGCATGTAAACACATGAGATTCATCCCTTTTTGTTTCATAAAGCCTACTGAAGTGATTCCAGGTTTTTATTCCCCCCATCTTAATCTTCACAATGTTATCCCACCTAAATACCTCTGCACTGGCTAAATGGTCTGTAAACTAAGCTAATCAAACACAGCAGAGCAGTTTAATCAGCATCTCGGAGGTCAGTAGAGGCAAAGACAGTTTTAGAGGTGCCTGACTGGAAAGAGGTCACCTACCATTAAAGGGTTAGTGATCCAACAGGAAAGTATTGAATGTTTAAAACAACAAAAAAAAATGCAATGGGTAATAGTGCATATCTTCACTATATGGCACTGAGCTGTTATTTCTCCTTGACTCCCGGCTAGACCAAAGCAAATTTTAGCCATCTTTATGAGACTATACAAAGGCATACAGCAAACAGCGCATTAAAGCAGATGCAGCATATTGAAAAGGGCTCAATTAAAGTGCAGAGTGTTTCCTGCAAATAAAGGGCCGTGTGAGTAACCACCCTCCATATAAATCCCCTGATGCTGTATCCCAGTAAAACTCCACAGTCCTGTGGAGCTGTTCCCAAACAGGACGTATTGCTGATGTGTGGCATGATCTATTTTTTTTTCAACCCAAAAGAAATTGTAAATCCAAATTTACAATTTTTTAAATTTATCTCTCTGCCAGAGAGCTTTTTTGTACATGTGAATGCATTATTAAGAAGGGCTGCTGTACATTTCCATACTTAGATCAGCGTCAGTATTTTTGAATAGATTATCTAACCAGACAAAAAAAAAATAAAAAAGCTAGCTGAAGGGAAAACATATTCACAGACAATTTGGGAAAAGTACAGGAAAAAATGCAGTTACTAAATCATTGCTTAAAATTTGCAAGCATTCACTGACTAATGCTTGTGTTTCAGGAAGGATCACTCGCCCGTGTTTTGCTGGATTGCACTGTAAAATCCAATATGCTATAGGGCCAATCCTTCACAGTATTTATGACAAGCAAGCAAACATGACCAGGGTAAGACAAGGGGAAAAATTTACATACTGTGGACATATATATGTGTGTGTGTATGTGGGTGTGTGTGCTTTATAAAAATATATATAATTTCCTGTGTTTCTTCACTTGTCCCTGTAAAAAACACCTTCTCTCCCTAGAATCAAGACAGATTTATAAAAATCTAAGAATCTGACCCAGTTCTCCCCAGACAAAATGTCTTCATCAGTGGCCAGTATTTCAATGAGACCCCACTGCCCATTCAGCAAACACTCAGCACCATGCCTGATTTGCAGGCTGATGCCATGCACCAGGTCAGACACAGGGGGTGGGGTCCTGCATTGCTCGTTTAATTCATAACACTCACTTCAGTGAAAATATGCCATTTACAATGCTCTTAGCTGCACCCTGCTATGAAGTGAAGCTGTGTGCAGAGAACTGAAAGGGATTTTGGACACAAGTTCTGAGCATGATTTGATTTAGGAGGCACAAGCTTGAAACTTGTACTGAAAATCTACACTTAAATGTAACTTAAAATGTAGAAGATTTTGAAATTATCAAGCTGACGGGGGATATTTAATGTTCATGTTTTAAAGACAACATTTCTTTGTCATTGATTTGGCTCCACAAGAGTTATCTGTATTTTTGGAAATCAGAGATGGAAATGTTAAACCTGAATGGTTGGTGTATGAATCAGCGTCAGTTTTCAAGGGCGTGAGTCAGGATTCAACAGAGCTGGAGGATTAACTGGAAATGATAACTGTTAATTTTCACATCTTTTATGGTTAGGAGGAAGCATGGGGCAAGTGCAAAAAAGGTACAGAGAAAATAGATTTACAGCACACAATGGCTGCTTTTGGGGGACACCTCACAGCTGACCAAAAGGTCAGAGCTACAAGAGCCCCAAAATTCAGTGAGGCTGCCACACCAGAGTGGGCTGGGGGAGCTCAGCAAGCTGCAAATCACCACAAATCACTGTCCACAGCTGGTGAGAGAACCTGGAGGTTCGAAACCGTATTAACAAGGTAATCTGACAGAGATTTGGGCAAGAACAAAGTGTTCATTGAAATGGGATACTCATAAAGTTACACTTTGCTAGGATTCTTGCATCTGGCACAGTCTGTACCAAGCACTTTGCAGAACAGTTTCAATAGGAGTTTACTGTTTGCACAATAAATGCGTGCCTCTTGGGTTTAAAACATTTAACGCTGAGTCTGTAAGAGCTAAGTTTGGTTTTATAATTACAGATAAGAAGGTTAAATATGTTCTAACCAAAAAAAAAAAAAAAAAAAAAAAAAAAGATAAAGTAAGTAGACAAGATTTTTCCTCCTAACAGGGCTAAAAAAAAAAAGACAGTATGAAATTTACATTTCAGACAGGAAATATTCACTTTCCTAGTTAAATGTGAAAAAAAAAAAAAAAGAGAGAGAGAGAGAGACTCCATAAAAAGCTTTCGGTTACTGTAGGATCTGAGCAGATATTTAACCTCAGAGTGTACAGCGGCATGACCTAGTGTGACTGTGAACTGCTGCAGGGGGACAACTTGCATGATGGAGAACAGAAAATGCTCAACTAGAAGTCTTCTGAGCAAAAGTGGCTCAACAGCGAGGATCAAAATACCACCGACTGAACAGAAGGAAAGCTGTCAGCTTCTACATTTCAAGAATAGTTCATTAATCTTGTTCCATCCTGCAATGTTTTGCCAATTCTAAGCTATGACATTTGGAGTGTTACCAGCTAAAATATGCTGGCTCCTTCTGGCGTGTTGCAACCAATTTTGAAAACTATCACAGGGTGATAAGGGTTTTCCACACAGCTTCAGGAGAACACTTCGCAGGGAACACAAATACATCCTCTTCTCTCCGTATGCAGCCTGCAGAGACACCACGAGCACAGAATGACGGCACGCAGCTGCGGGATGAGGGAGAGGAAAGCAGCAGCAGAGACGAGGAGACACTGCAACGCCACGTGCCTGCCAGACCTGCACGGCTCTCCCAAGGGAGGATGTCGTGCTGGAAACTCCCTGTGCACAGCAGCAAGGCCAGAGCCCAGCTGAGGTGTGGGAACACAGAGCCTGTGTGTTATTACGGGTGTTCAAAGCTCCAGAGGTAACTTCAGTACGGAAAGAGGGCCCATAGGAAAGA